GAAGTTGGAAAGGGGGGGGGGGGGAGAGAGAGAGAGAGAGAGAGAGAGAGAGAGAGTTAGTGGTTGTTTGATAGTTGCTAACTGAGTTAGAGCAGACTGAGTTAGATTTTATGACTGAGTTTACATTTGAATGAGTTTATGTTGTTTAATTATTTTTTCTGATTGTGGTGAATGATAAAAATGACCATATTACCCTTTTTTTATTCATACACATAACATGGCAAATACTAACAGAATAACAAGCAATGTAATTTTAACAACAACAAAATAAATCACAGCAACAACAACAACCAAAAACAAAACATAATCATGGCAAAAACAAGGTTATACTATTAACAGAAATTCGAGTGTACACCATTTGCATTTTTTGTATGACAAAATTACATAAAAGCACATTGCATCTACAACAACATACAAAATAATAAATTGATAAAAAAAATTTAAAATAATAATAAAAAACAGCAACTGCCGAAACATAAACTCATACATATATCTGTAAAATAGGAACAAGAAGGAAGAAACAACAAAACAGAAACATAAGAGCAAAAACAACAAAACAACCAACCGATTTCTCAACAAAAACTCATACATATATACTATCAAAAATTCAGAATGAAACAAGAAACAAGAAGGAGAAATCAAAAAATCTTGTATGAAATAGAGAAATCGGGAACAGAAAATCCCGTATGGAATTCAGAAATCAGGAACAATAAGGAATGAAGGACGAAATAGGTAGCTGTTGATTCATCGGAAGTAGGTTGCTCGATTTCTCTATTTTAGTCAGAACTGGAAGTGAAGGCAGGAAGGGAACGGCGATAGTTGTGTTCGATTTCTCTATTTTCTTAGGAGGAGGCATACCAAAATAAGAGCGCAAAATGGGAAGTCTTTCTATTTGTTCCCGGACCATCAATTAGAAAGTTACGACCGAATCTGATGAAAAGGTTGGATCGAGTCCCTCACTTTCTAATCCATATCAAACATGCCAAATGGCTATTTTTGGACCCAATCCATATTTGGACCTAGTTAGACATTATATCAAACGACACCTTAGAAACCTTGGTGATCAAATTTGAAGGTATGAAACTTAAATGTCACAAACTCATTTTTCCGTTCCATTCTTCACCATTCACGATATGGAGAGTTTAAGGAAAGCTCCATATAGCAATTTCTAGCAAGAATGGAAGATTTAGGGTTGGAGGTTCAAGAGCAAGTGCATCGTCAAGTATTAGTCATA